AATTCCACATATATGCATTAATATAGGGCATTTGTTTTTCTCTTTCTGACTTTCTTTACTCTGTATGGCATTCTCTAGGTTCATCCACATAGAGCTCTTACATGTCTGAATATGTCTATTATCTCTTCACATTTGACTTACCAGTTGGCTGGATATAGAATTCTAGGATGGAAATGCCTCATTTTGCAATATTTCAGACTCTAGTGTTGCTATTGAGAAGTCTTGTGTTTTCCTGACTTCTAGCCTTATAAGTGAGATCTCTTTTCCATCCTTCCTTGGAAGTTTTTATTCCTACTCTTTATCTTTGGTGTTTTGAAATTTCACAATGAGATACGTAGATTCACATCTTTTTGTCATTCACATATTTGACCTTTTGGTAGAATCTTTATACCTGAAATTTCATACACTTTATTTCTGGAAATTTCCATGGGATTTATTCTTTGTAATCACCTTTCTTGTTCTCTCTGGGCTCTCTTATTGAGATGTCTATTAATAAGCTATTGGACTTCTTTGAAGGATGCTTTAGTTTCCTTATTATTTCTTTTCTTCACTCCATTTCACTGTCCTTTGTCTACTTCCCAAAAGATTTCTTAGATTTATCTTCTGGAAGTCTATTTTATTTTTCATTATATTTATTCCATATTTAACATCCATACACTTTTCTTTTCTGACTGCTCTCTTATAATAGGTTTCTGTTCTTGTTGCATGTCTACTTATTTTTCTGAAGATATTAGCTATAATTTTTTTTTTTTAAGAATTCTTTTGCCTCCTGCTTCACCTTTGTTTCCTGAGTTTCTTATTTTCAATTTTTGCTGTTTTTTGTTGGAGTTCTTCTTAAATGCCTACTGTTCCTTGACTATCCATTCATATTTCAGAGTGTGGAGCCATGGGACTGACTGGAATTCTATGATTATGGGTGGGCCTTTTTGACTGATGGGCTTCTGTGTGGCATGATCAGGTCTGGGACATTTTGTTAGTCAACTCACAAATATCAGGCCCTCTGACAATAAACCCTCTAACTTTTGGTCTTATTGTCAGTATTCTGAGACCCCAGAAAGTGAAGGAAATGGAATATCTCATTATTGCATCTTTAGGCTTGACTTTATTTGGCTGCTAGTTCTAAAGGATACAGGCTTGAGGCCTGACCCTTAGACCACCTGTATTTAGGGAAGAGGAAGGTGGTGAAGTTAATGAAGGGGACAGAGGAGTGGCCAAGAGATCCAGGGAGGGGGGAAGTGATCAACAGCCCAGATGTTCACTCAGTTTTCTTTCGGCAACCATTGAACATGTTACAGTGGAGGTAGAATCTAGCTTGTGGGAGGGAGCTTTAGGATTCAAAGTTATGAAACCTGTGTGCATGTGTGCCTAGTTGCTTCAGCGGTGTCTGACTCTTTGTGACCCTATGGCTGGTAGCCCAACAGGCTCCTCTGTCATGGGATTCTCCAGGCAAGAATACTGGAGTGGGTTGCCATGCCTTCCTCGAGGGGATCTTCCTGACCTTGGGTTCCAACCCACGTCTTCTAGGCTCCTGTATTTTAAGCAGATTCTTTACTGGTGAGCCACCTGGGAAACACAGCTTGTGGGAAAAAGGAGGGAAATGGAGGAAGGAAAGCAAATAGCTGTGTAGAAATTAAACTCTCCATCTCACTAGAAACTTGTCCTTCCATTGGCATTGCTGGCTTGAGTTCACATTCCTCCCAAAGGATCTGAGTATATTCTGGAGAAATAGGGAATGCATACACATCAGCCATCAGAAGTGATTGACAGGAGACACCAGGGATTCTTAAATGTATGAAAGTAAAACAAACACTTTATTTAAGGAAAAGGCAACTTGGAAAAAAAAAAGCCTAATAAATAACTCAGTACAGCTGGCTTAAGCACTTTAAAGCCAGTGTCTGTGATAAGCAATGAAAACATTAATATAAAATGCTTCACCATAAATGAGTACAATTCAGGCTGATGTATTGCAGCTGAGCCGGCTGTTGGATGGCATGCTTTTAAAGTGATGTTTACAATTGGTATCTTTTTCCTTTGGTAACTAGAGGAAGGCAGAAATGGCTGGAAGCCTTGCCAGGGTGTGGCTCGGAACCTTGGAAGGGTGGGAGCCTGCTGGGCGCTGGTCTCCCACTATGCTCCTAACCAGCTCAAGACAGGGCAGGCAGGAAGCTCAGAGCAGGGCGGTGCCAGGCCGGCATGGAGAATGGGAGCCTGGGTCTGATCAGTGGCCAGCTGTGAGATCTGCAAACAGGGGGCCAACTTTCTGGGCTCTCTGTCTCTTCAGCTAGTCCTGGAGGTCACAAAGGGTGTCCCTCGGGTATTTTGAGACCAGTGCCTGCCCCTGCTGACTCCCTGCTTCTCTGTCCTGCAGCCTCTTGGCAGTGATGCCCTTTGAGCTCGGTACCCCCAAAGTGCATGCAAAATAAGCCCGTGTTTCATTTTGACATTTTAAAATTTATAAAATGGAGGTGAAAATGCCAATTGTTTACCATGTCAATGTGGTTATGGAAGAATCAGATAAAATGTCATATGACAGAATATAAACTTACCTTTTTAAAAACAGGTGAGTAATCTGATAATCATCCTCTATTCAGTTCAGTTCAGTCGCTCAGTCGTGTCCAATCCTTTGCGACCCCATGGATGCCAGGCTTCCCTGTCCATCACCAACTCCTGGAGCTTACTCAAACTTATGTCCATCAAGTCGGTGATGCCATCCAACCATCTCATCCTCTGTCAGCCCCTTCTCCTCCTGCCTTCAATCATTCCCAGCATCAGGGTCTTTTCAAATGAGTCAGTTCTTCACATCAGGTGGCCAAAGTATTGGAGTTTCAGCTTCAGTCCTTCCAATGAATATTCAAGACTGATTTCCTTTAGGATGGACTGGTTGGATCTCCTTGCTGTCCAAGGGACTGTCAAGAGTCTTCTCTAACACCACCTTTCAAAAGTATCAATTATTCGGCACTCAGCTTTCTTTATAGTCCAACTCTCACATCCATACGTGACTACTGGAAAACCTGAAGCTTTGACTACACAGACATTTATTAGTCCTCTATTAGGTAATAATAATAATAAGAGCAGTTCATGTTTGCTGAACCCCAACTTCATGCCAGGTCCAAGGTGAGCACTGAGTGGTCCATCCTGGGGATGTAGCCACATGTTTCCTGTGGTCCTGGCTCCATGCCTATGTGGACAATCTTTTCACAGCCTCTGAAAGCCCTTTATTTTTCCCTGGCTCAGGCTCCGGGCTTCTGCCATGGATCAGCAGGTTAAGAATCTGCCTGTAATGCAGGGGACACAGGAGATGAGGGTTCCCAGGAAAGGGAAATGGCAACCCATCTAGTATTCTTGCCTGGAGAATTCCATGGATAGAGGAATCTGTCCTATGGACTGGTGGGCTACCAGTCCATAGGGTTGCAAAGAGTTGGACATGACTGAAGCAACTCAGTATGCAAACACATGCACGCATGTACACATGTCTCAGGCTCCACTAAGATTCTGCTTCTCCTTTGTTGCCAACACCCATTTATCCCAGGTTTCCGGCAACCTTGCTGGTTGGCTCGGGAACTGGAGCTGTTTTGTTTTGTCCTTTATCATTGTTTTCATGACATAAACTACAAGGCCCTTACCTTAATGTGTTCAAGTATCAATCATTACAGGGAAAAATAAACGAAAGAGAAGAGATGATGGAGAGGTCAAAGATGCCGGGTTCTCTTGGTGGCTATTACCGGCTAGTGGTTCCTGAATTCTTTCTTAACCGATGATGCCAAAACTTCCCAAGGAGGGGTCTGGAAGCCTCTCCAGCTGTGTCCATGTTCTCACCAACAGTCCATGCTGACTTGGAAGCGAGGCCAGACCACTCAGACCCACCGCTGACCCCACTGGCCACAGGCTGCCAGGGCTGGGTGCCACCCCACCCTTCTAGTCCCACATCAGGAGAGGAATCAGGCTGCTCCTCTGGACCCCAGCATTTCTTTTCTCTCTGGACTCAGATAAACCTGCACTGTTTCCTGCTAGATTCCTGTGGCTTCTGCCACAGGTAACCGCAAATGGAGTGGTTTAAGACAGAACAACTGTGCTCTTTTACAATTCGGGAGGTCAGATGTCTGAGCCAGGCTTCACTGGGCTAAAGTCAGGGTGTTGAGGTGAATCGTTCTTTTTTGCCTTTTCTGGCTTTCAAAGGCCGCTCACATTCCTTGGCTCCTGGCCCCCTTTCCTCTCCAAAGTCCACCATGGTGGCTGAGTCCCCACCGCCTGTCACCCTGATGCTGACACTCCGCTTTCCTCTTCCATCCTTTAATGACCCTTGTGATGACATTGGTCCCACCTGACTAATTCAGGCTCATCTCCCTGTTAAAAGTCAACTAATTTGCAACCTTATTTGATCAGCATTTAATTAATTGCTTAAATCCCTCCTTCAGGAAGATCCCCTGGAGAAGGGAATGGCTACTCCAGTATTCTTACCTGGAGAATCCCGTGGACAGATGAGCCTGGTGGGCTACAGTTCATGGGGTCAGAGTCAGACACAACTTAGTGATAAACAACAACAACAACTGTGTGTGTGTATGTGTGTATATATACAATTTCTAAGATAGAGGGGGAAGGGTCATTCTGGCAACCCCCTGTCAGTGGAAGGCCAGCTGCTCCTCCAGACATGGTCAGGCTGCACACCCAAGGCGCATCGCACAGTTCTGGGACCAGGTTTCGGATCCACCACTATGTCATTTTGGATAAGCCACTTCACCTCTTCGAGCCTCAGTTTTCTTGTCCCCCTGATGGGAAGACCTCATCTGAAGAGTGAGGAAAGAAAAGTACCGGATGTGGAATTCCTCTTCCCTTCACTACTTGCCTCTCCTCACCTTTCACGCTCATTGCCCACTCTTCCTTCCCCTTGTTCTTAATGTGCTACATTCATTTCTTAAGAGTCCAGGAATAGCATGTTGCTATTTTCAGGACCCCCTCCTTCCATCTCTCCCTCCCCCGCTTTCTTTCTCTCTGTCACACACACACACACACACACACACACGTACACACACATACCTGGTTTGTGGATGAGAGGGGAGGTTTAGGCAGTGGAGTTATGGATGGAGGAGGGGAAAGCCTTGGGTCCAGAATCATCTAAATTGATCACTCACACAGCTTTTGGATTTGAGAGTCCATTCCCCAGGCCCAATGCTGCTTTCAAGCACTTTTTTTTCCTTCCATCGGGAAAAGTGATAGCTGAGCGGCATCACAGAGTAGGAAGGGGAGAGAGGGATTTTTCAGAGGCTGAATTCACCAAGAGTGATTTCTGAACCAAAAACCAACCCAGACAACTCCCGTCCCTACCAGAAAACCTGCACATAAAGGACTGGGGAAAAAAGCCAGCTCTTCAGCACTCCTGGATCACCTCTGTGCTTTTTTCCAGACCCCAATTATAAATCTGAACCGAACAGATGCATTTCTATGGAAATGCATTAAAATATTATTAGGAACAGCTTTTGCCTTAGTGGTAATAAATCCATACCTGCAGTCACCCTTCACTTCTTCCTAACTCTTTGATAACTTGGAAAATATAAATTCTGCTCCAGTGTAGATTTAAGCAAATGGATCGGTGCTCTCCTTTCCTCACTCTTCTGGTCTGGTCCCTCTGGATCCACTTGCCCCACTTCCCAGGCCTGCCACACGGCACCGTCCAGGATGGGGCATGGGGGTCGGGGGAGAGTGGAGAGCTCAAAGCTGCAATCACTGACCCTGACCTCCAATCCACCATGTGACTGTGAAGGACTGAGTCACCTTCAGTGCCCCATGTGGTCAGCACCTTCTAAATGGGCCTCAATGATCTCTGCCTGGTGGTTCAGATCCTTGGTGTGGGCTACACCTAGTGATTAGCGTCCAATGAATAGAATATTGTGGAAGTGATGGAAGGCCATTTTGAGATGAAGTTATAACAGGTTGACTTTCACCTTGCTAGCCCTCTCTTGCCTTCTCAGCTTGCTGGTTCTGATGAAGCAAGCTGTCGTGGTGGTGAGACCCACAGGGCAACGACCCAGGAGTAGTTTCTGTATAACAGCCAGTGGGAAACTGAGACAGATCCTCAGTCCAGTGGCCCTCGAAGAACCTAACCCTGCTGACAACTGCTGTGTGAGCTTGAGGCCAGATCCTGCCCTCTCTGAACCTTGAGCTGACTGTGGCTCCAGCTGAGACCTGGATTGTAGTCAGTGAGATTCTGAAGCAGAAGCTATGCCTAGATTTAAGAGTCACAGAAAAAGGAAAATAGTGAAGATAAATAATAAATATGGACTGTTCTAAGCCTCTAAGTTTTGGGGTAATTTGTTGTGCAGCAGTAGACAACTAATACACTCCTTATGTCACTAATCTCTGAAATGGACCATTCCCACCAGTGCATCTAAGTACAGCAGGACAAATGCGTATTAAGACACATTCTAACACCAAATGTGGTTCAGTGTTTCTTATTCTGTAATTTGTATTTGCATCAGTAATAGTCATTGATTTATTCCCCGAATACTTGCTGAGTGCCAATTATAGTTAGATGCCATGCTGTGAACATAGGCTACAACAATGCACACAGTATTCTTGTTTCCTTCGATGAGCTCACAGCCTTTGTGAGGGGAGTGATGAATACTTTAGAAACAGAGTGAAGTGTAATATATTAAAGGTCTGAAATGCCCTCAAAATGGTTTGGAAGTCTGGATGCCATATACAACCTCACATAACAAATTGCTTACCAAAGTAGCAAGAATTCTTGGTGATCCTATTCCTCCTTTCTCAGTGGGAGTGCGAACAAGAAATAATGTGTTCAACAAGAACAGAAAGCTTAGAATTTGATGGGATGCTTGGGTATAGTCCTGAAGTGTGTGTGGATGCACTCTGGGATTTTGAACTCAAGTCCTAGGACACATTTTCAATAGGGTTCCCACAGCATTCTAGACACTCGGCTCTGGTCCCATGATCTCCTCCATCCATGGCAACCCCTGCCTTTCATGCTATTCCCAATCCCTCCAAAGTTTTCTGTGATTTCTCCTTCTCACCTTCCAAGAGTCCCTGGAGCCCTAACTAATAATGCAGCACCGGATTCTCTTTGGCTTCATGTATGATGTTTATTCTCCCACTCAGTCCTTTATTCAACAAAATGAAATGGAGGCTCTGGGTCCCCCAGAAGGTGAGAGCAAGTGCTGGGATTGTTTAAAAAATGGACTGAAAGGACAGTGGTTGAAAATCTGTTTAAGGAGTGGTTGGTCATCTACAATGACCCAGATTCTAGGTTCAGACTGTGACAGGAGAAGGGAGGTTTAGTCTCTGGATAAATTGAACCACATTGGCCCAAACTCTGCATCACGGGCCACAATGGAGGGTCAGGTTTGATGCCTTAATGAAAAGAGTGCTTAAATGAAGACCATGCTAGGCCTGGGCTAGTAGCTTCATTGCTTCCATGTAGGTGAGACTTGGATTGATTTTTTTCCATTTCCGACAACTCACTACTCCCAGTATTGACCACTAGCAGAACATCTCTGCTTGGAAATTCCAGGATTATTGCAATCACAACTATGCAAAATCATGCAGCTTCTCTCAGCACCATTTTGGTCCCCATACATCCAGGCGTCCAGTACCTCAGGGCCTTTGAACTGGCTTTTTTCTCTCTCTCTCCCCATATTGCCATGACTTCTTCACTTCAAGCTTTTGTTCAGGCTTCACCTTTATGATGTCTTCCTCTGATCATCCTATTTAAAATTGCAACCCTCACTTTTCTCCCCCAATCTTGAAAAACAGTTGGCATATAGTCCTCCCTCAATAAATGTTTTTAGAACGAGATGTCTGAGCAGAAGCTGCGTATTTTTGGTATGTGTGCTAAAATATATATAAGATAAAATTTGCCATTAAAACCATTTTTAAGTGTACAGTTTAGGGACATTAAGTTCAGTCACACTGTTGTGTAACCATCACCAATAACCATTTCCAGGACTTTTTCATTATTCCAAACGGAAACTCTGAACCCATCAGGCAATAACTCCCCACTTTCTCCCTTCCCACAGCCCCTGAAAACCACATTCTACTTTCTGTCTCTCTGTCTTTGACTCCTCTAGCTATCTCATGTAAGAGGAATCAAACAATTTTTTTGCATCGTTTATTTCACTCAGCAAAATATTTTCAAGGTTCAACCATAGTGTGACATGTGTCAGAATTTCCCTCTTTTTATAGCTGAAAAGTATTCTATTATATGTATAGATCACATTTTGTTTATCCATTCATTTGCTGATGCTGAAAGCCTATGTGTTTTGCAGAGATGATGCCTGAAGGACTAGAGAGTGAGACGATGAGAAGGCTTGGTAACCCCTTGTGTTTCTCCTGATGGCTAAGATCCACTGGGCTGTTCCTCCCACAGGTTTATGGGGCTTACCCTCGCAAGGGAGAGGGACTTCTGAACCATGAAAGGAGGCCCCAAAACTCTGGGTATGGAGTTGTTTTCCTTTCTCTAGTATTTCAATAGAAGCTGGAGACAGAATTTATGAGAGCTGTGAGGATGAGTTATCTACCTTATGGTTCATAAATAATTAAAAAATGAACTCTATATCTCCAAACATTATTTATATCAATTCTTTATTGAATAGGTGACTTCAGGCTAAACACATAACACCAAAAAACAAAACTTGAAAAAAAAATGAACAACTATAGCCAGGAGCAATGGAGAAATCACCTTCCTAGTGGGCTCAAGGGAATTTCCATCTAGTGCCTGTGTGGCTGTGGGCTGGCAGGACCCAGGAACACGCTGGCAGACGGGGAGCTCTCTGGACCCTTGAGAGGGCACTCACATTCACTCAGCCTTGGCATCTCCTCCTTCAGCTTCTCTTGTTCTGACTTGTGTCCTCTTGTTTATTCTATTTTCCACCTAATAATGTACCCAGAGATGCTTGTCATTTTAAAGAGACGTACCAGTTTTTCTTCTGTTTTGACCTTGTACCCCAGGCATATTTTCTTCCTTCTTGGATGTGTTTGGTGCAGTTCTGGGCACTCAAGGTGCTTCTTAAGACAATGGAGGGAGTCTTAAGCACCCTTTCATCTATTCTCCTTGCACTCACTCTCTCTCCAGCCACCCAGAACTTCATAGAGCACACGAGGTGAGCCATGCTACCTGCCTCCCAGGTGAGGCCTTTCCCCGCTGCCCTGAAGGCAGGACAGCTGGGTGAGCATCTATCTGATTCCCTGCTTGGATTGCTGTGTTGTGGGGAAAAGCCGCATTTGACTGTGAATGGCAAATGGAAGAAAAGCAGAAGACTGATGAATTCCAGGGGAGGTGTTTGGAGCTTGGGGTGGCTTGAGGATCCATCCCTCTGGGAGCTTGAGGAGATCCAGTGACCAGTCCCGTAACCATCAGAGATGGAATCTGGAGGGGAGGAGGAGTCCCCAGTTAGGACCCACAATGTGCTCTTCCATAGAAGATGTTGGGGCCTAGTGTACAAGTAGGACAGCATCGCGCTCCAGTTCCTTAGGACTTCAACAGGCTCCTGTGGGCTGCCTGTGGCCCTAACCACCACGCACAACATGGTTTCTATGGGAAAATGCATTTTGAGTACCAGGAAACTGACATCCACTCAAACTTTTGGAACAGAGCCTGCTCTTAAGTTGGAGACTGCTTGAATACCACATTCACAGCTAAATTATATGGATAGGCCTATTTTTAAGATATATGCCTATTTCCAAGACACTCAGCTTATATAACAATGGGAATCGGAAGAAAGAATTGGTAGAAGTCGTGTTTTTGGTGGAGAAGGGGGAAGATGTGCATATTCGCTGTGTAAAAAGCACAGTTCTACCTGGCAGGAGAGTAGAAGACACTGAAAATATCTAAAACATTCTCTAGGTTTGTGTGGCTTGACCCACATAGTCTTTCTTTTAAGCAACACCACACCCATATGGTTCTTAATTTTAAGACCAACATTTGAATTCTACAGTAACAAAGAAGATTGAGTTAAATTTAGAGGGTAGGGTGTGAGCAAGGTCTGCGTGCTACAGGATGTGCCCAAGTCATGAAGCATTGTT